ATTTATTTTTGGAGAGAGAGACACAGAGTGTGAGCAAGGAAGGGGCAGAGAGAGAGGGAGACACAGAATCCGAAGCAGGTTCCAGGCTCCCAGCTGTCAGCACAAAGCCTGATGCCAGGCTCAAACCCACAAACCATGAGATCATGACCTGAGCTGAAGTCAAGACATTTAACCGACTGAGCCACCCAGGTGTCCCCAGCACCAACCTCTTCTTAAAATGAGTGGCCTCCCTGTCCCTCTCTCCTTTATTATCAGGTATATTTTTAGCTTTCTCCCTTTGGCTTACCACATCCTCCATTTACCAATTATGTGTTAGCTGTTGAAGGAAGAAGCCCATAAGGTAATAGAGAGCTAACAGAAGTAAGTACATTTTTTATTTCTTTAAACTTAGCCTAGAAAAGTCATCACTCTTTAGCTTTCTGGGGGAAAAGATGATGTTTTTCATTATTTTTGGTAATTAAAAAATACAGATAAATTACCATGTAAATCTTTAGTTTTCTGAATTTGCTCCACGAAATCTTGAAATGAGCTGCTCATATCAGATTTTACCCATGAAGTAAGTGCATTTGAAATAATCTGCAGTCTTTGATGACTACAAAGAAAAAAAAATCAACAATACACTGAACCTAAAATCAAATACAATATTAGAATAAACATAAATAAAAGCTTCAAACTTAAAAAATATACAAGCAATCTTCATACCGAAACTGTAATTCTTTGTTTAAATTTTCAGCTAAATCTCTCCGTTTTAATGTCACCATCATTTCCTCATCTAAATCTGCCTTCCTCTGAACTGGTACATATTTTTTCAACATAACCTGTTTAATTTCGGCATATTTATCTTCAAGATGTTTCAGGTATTTAGTGAGAGCATCTAAACTGACGGATTCTTGGAGAGTCATGCCTAGGGAAAAGGGAACAAATCAAACAAGCCAAACCATGCGGGGTAACTAGTGCTCAAACAGCAAGTTTTAGCAAAATAAATCAGTTTACTATGTTATGAAATAATTTAAAAATGATAGCATGAACTTATAACTTACAGAACATAAACAGAATTAGCATACAATTTTAAACGGGTAGCAGTTTTAAACATATCATCAATGAAGACTGATTGTCCAAACCTGAGTATCTTAAAAAGTTTTAATGACCTCATTGACACACCTTGCAAACCTCTTAAATATCAATGCGACTCAATACCACTAAGAGTTTCTGCCTAACGAATCAGGATTTTTGTCCGAAGATTTCTCTCTAGCCAAATCTTTCATTCATCTACTATAGTAAGCCCCAGGGTAATGTTTATTCTTTCCAATGCAAAGCTTATAACATCTGCTAAACCTTCATTCCTCTCTTCCTCATTGCCCCCTGTATTCATTATTCTTAACAACCCACTCACACATACTTAAAATGATTCTCTTATTCAGGCCAATTGTTACCTTTATTATTATTATTTTTTTAATGTTTATTTTTGAGGGGGTGGGGAAAGGGAGAGGGAGAGAGAGAGTCCCAAGCAGGTTCTGAGCTGTCAGTGCAGAGCCTAACTTGGGGGTCGAACTCATGAACTGTGAGATTCCAACCCTAGCTTAAATCAAGAGTCGGATGCTTAACTGACTGAGCTACCCAGGTGCCCCCAATTGTTGCCTTTAAAAGGCATACCTCAAAATTCTCTCCCAGAAACTCCCCTGGATTAATGCTACTCGATTTTTAATCATTCCCTTACCCTGAATCCTCTCAGCATTTAATCAATTTGACTTATTCTCTCCTTATTCATATGTACCTTATTTGTAGTTTGATAATCATAATTTTATATTTGAAGTGAATCTAGCCCCTGCTTCCACCAAACACAGGATGATCAACCAAACTCAGGTGAAATGCTGTGTTATGGAGCAGCTCATTGTCTTCAAGACATAGCTTCTTCTACTGAAACCAAAGTGACTTCCTAAAATTTCCACCTATGGACTCTGCCTCTGGATAAACACTGGTTGAAACCCTTAAAAGTTTTTAATACAGTTATCTATTCTCAAAGTCGTCCTTTTCTTCAGGATGAATATTTGCAATTCTTCTATCCATTCATCATAAAAACTTCTCAACTCCTGATGAATTCCAGGATATACTCCAAAGTTTCTTAAAATGTGACTTAGCCGAAGATGAAGAACCAGTGAATACGGACATCAATGTCAATCAACCTGGAGTCCTGTCTAAAGCTGTTTGTAAAGTCTGGCTCAAGTCCTGGTACACTTCAAGATATACACACTGCAGCACATATATACTAATTTGTGTAATAGGTAATAACTGAAAACAGTTGGAATTTTAAATATTTTAAACAAAATACAGTACCTGGAATAGGTTTTGAAGGATCTTTGGAGAAAGTATGATATTTTACTTCTTTTGCGTCATACTCTGCCCTAAGTTGCTTCATTTGGTCTATTTGCAATTGAATTTGTGAGGAATTATTTTCAATAACCCTCATTCTGAAAAACAGAAAGGCTTTCTTATATTTCTCTCAATGAATTTAGTTACATAATCATAAGATTTAAAGTAAAACAGGTTAAATCATTATTTTGGCTAATTATAATTTTGAACCATTATGGACTTAGGTGGAGGTTTATAAAACAATGCCCATAAATGGGGCGCCTGGGTGACTCAGTTGGTTAAGTTTCTGACTTCGGCTCAGGTCATGATCTCATGGCTCATGAGTCTGAGCCCCACGTCAGGCTCTGGGCTGACAGCTCAGAGCCTGGAGACTGCTTTGGTTTCTGTGTCTCCCTCTCTCTCTGCCCCTTCCCTGCTCAAGCTCTCTCTCTCTCTCAAAAAATAAACAAACATTTAAAAAAAAAAAAAAAAAAAAAAAAAAACAACGCCCGTAAAAAGTTAATTAACCTCACTAGTGAGGAACAGTTTTCTTTCAGAGCATCAATAAAATCTTACACTATGATTCACAACCTGACTGGAAATTTGTATGTGTAAAACATAATAATCTGGCCACAAAGTACTATGTCTACTTCCAATAGTTGAAAATTACCTTTGCAATTAAAATTATTTTTGTAATTGTATTAGTTTCCTGTGGCTGCTATAACAAATTGCCAAAAAACTTATTGGTAGCTTAAAACAACAGAAATTTATTCTCTCACGGTTCCAGAGATCAGAAATCCAAAATCAGCAACACTGGGCCAAAATCAAAGGGCTACACTTCCTCTAGAAGCTCTAGGGAAGAATCTGTTCCTTGCCTCTTCCAACTTCTGGGGGCTGCTGGCCTTCCATGGCTACATCACTTCAATCTCTGCCTTAGTGGTCATGCTGCCTTCTCCCCTTCTGCCTGTCAACACTCCTTCTGCCTCTCTTTTATAAGAACACTTGTGATTGTATTTAGGGTCCACCTGGATAATCCAGGATAATCTCCCTATCTCAAGATCCTTAATGTAATAACATCTGTAAAGGCCCTTTTTCCAAATAAAGTACACTTCCAGGTTCTCAGGATTAGGACCTGATATCTTTAAGGCAATTATTCAGCCTCCTATAGTAATTTTGATCCTAGAGCAGGAGGAACGATAGTTACTTCTCTGAGATAAAACTGACTTATTCCAGAAATGGGGATCTTAAAGACCAAGAGGTAGATATAAATTTCTTTTAAGCATTATTTGAAGTTCACTGCCTATCTTATCACTGATATGTTGGCCCAGGGAAGAAATAACAGATTAAAATAAGTTAGATACATAAATGTCAGAGTTTTTGGCAAATTAAAAACACATTTGTCAGTACAAAACTGCTGCCTACATCTGATTACTATACAGAATTCCTGGTGACTACAGATGGCTGAGTAAGAGCCTGCAGCATTTATGAACGAGGGACTGTAGAAATAAAACATCCTTTGGCTTTCATCCAATAAAGTTAAGCTTGTGGAAGAAGAGCATATTAAAAGGTAACAGACTTCCAAAAGAATTGAAAGCAGGGACTCAGATACTTGTACATAAATGTTCAGAGGCATTGTTCACAATAGTCAGAGGTAGAAACAACCCAAGTATCCATCAACAAATAAACAAAATATGGTATATTCATACAATGGAATATTATTCAGCCATAAAAAAGGAATGAAATTCTAATATATGTTATAACACTAATGCAAAGGTATCTAATTGTTGCTCCTTTCTATAACTACTTTTAGGATCTTTTTATCTTTGACAGTTTCACTGTGATAAATCTAGTTGAGAATCTCTTATTATTTGTAATGCTTGGGATTTTGGAGGCTTCTTGAATCTGTGAATTGCTATCTCCCACCAGGTCTTGAAAATTTTCAGCCATGATCTCTTCAAACATTGTCCCATTATTCCTTTTTTTTTTTTTTTTTTTTTTTTTTTTTTTTTTTTTTTTTTTTACCTTAATCCATTATAGTTAACATAGTGTTATTTGGTCACAGATGTACAATATAGTGATTCAACAATTCCATACATCACTCAGTGCTCATCACAAGCATTCTCTTCTGAATTCTTTTTTTTTCAATGTTTATCTTTATTTTTGAGGCATTAAGAGACAGAGCATGAGTGGGGGAGAGGCAGAGAGAGAGAGAGAGACAGAATCGGAAAGAGGCTCCAGGCTCTGAGGTCTCAGCACAGAGCCTGACGTAGGGCTTGAACTCACAGACTGCAAGATTGTGACCTGAGCCCAAGACGGATGTTCAACTGACTGAGCCACCCAGGTGCCCCTCTTCTGAATTCTGATTAGCCAGGACTTTCTCACTCCATCCTCCATGGATGGATCCTCCTTTTTTTATAATAGCTATATTGAATATCATTCATATACCTTAAATCCACCCTTGTATACAACTCAGTGAATTTTAGTATATTCAGAGTTCTAAGACTATGACTTCTGGATCCAGAATATTTCATCACCCTAAAAATAAGACCCACATTCATTAGCATTCTGAACAGAAGGCAACTTTCTATGCAGTCCCCAAGGGTTGAGCAGTTTACTTCTGGTTCACTCTACAAGCGTATAGCCCTTTAATGACCCAGCTTTATATGATGAGGATTTCCCAGTAGACTGGACCCTTGGGTAGATCCTAGGCTTTGTCTTTTGTCCCCCTGAAGCTTATAGTCACTAGTTTTAACAAGGGTTCTCAGGGCCAAAGAAGCATTACTGCTCCTCTTACCTTTTATTACAATTTCGCGCTGATAATCTCTTAGTCATTTGCCAGCTTCCTGTTTACTTTTAAAAAGATTTTTTAAAAATATTTTAGGTAGCATTTTTCCCAAATAAAAAGATCTCAACATCTAGCCAACTTTATTACCAGAAATGGAGGTCAAATTTTGCATAGTTTTCCAAGATAATTTGATATAATCTATAAAAATCATGTACCCATTATTTACCAAACGGAACACTTGAAAATATAACACTACTCAACAAGAGAGCATCTTATCCCTTCCCAAATTACATACTGTTGTGCTTCAGAGGATTAAGTGCTCTAGTTCCGACAGTAATCGTGAAATTGTACTATCAAATCTTCGACATAAGAAATTACCTGGAGCAATTATCCGCATCCTTCATTTTATAATACTACAATGTGCCTCCAATTATCCTAAGAGATATTTAAAAATTCTCCAATAAAATTATTATTTTTCACTTGAAAGAAGTAAAAAATTTAGTTATTTCAAGTTGGTAGGAAAGGTTACATAAAAATATAGCTTTAAAATAAAATTGAGGGGTGCCTGGGTGGCTCAGTAGGTTAAACATCCGACTTCAGCTCAGGTCATGATTCTATGGTTCGTGGGTTCAAGCCCTGAGTCCGGATCTATGGTGACAGCTCAGACAGTGGAGCTTGCTTCATATTCTTTGTCTCTCTCTCTCTGCCCCTCTCCGACTTGCACTCTCGCTCTCAAGTGGATAAACATTAAAATAAATAAATAAAGCCATATCCAAAAAAACCCAAATCTGTTTAAAACAAATAAAATTAAATAGAAATTCACAAAGACTGAGAACCACTGGTTTTAGTTACAGTGACTAGTTAACATAACCAAGTAACATCATCTTTTGGGCTATTTACTAATATACTTACTTTGCTTCAAGTTGGATTGTTCTTTTCCTGTGATATACCAATGCTATGGGCTCTGCTGCCAAAGCTTTAAGTTTTCCATGAAGACAAAATGCAGTCTTTTGGCTTTCCTTTATTGTCTCAATAAAGGCATCATATTCTTTTTTGATTGAAGTAAGAATGGATTTGTATGCAGTGACATACTCTATTACCTGAAATATGATTTTTCTGCCTATGGTACTCAATTTTTTTCTAGATGATGATGGAACAAAAAGCCTTGCAAACAGCATTGTAGATTATTTCTTAAATAAAACATGATGAGCAATTAGAAGTCTTAAACTTTAATTCCTAGTCAAATGTGACTGAGTATTAAAGACAATTAACATTTACTGAATATGTTTTTGTGAATCATAATACTGTGAGCTTAAATATTTTTGCTTTACTTAATATGAACACGAACATTATATGAGGTCAGTTAAAACCAATATGAGATCTAATTATTTCAATTATAGATATTTTAAATATAATTACCTATCATCCCTTACTATTTCTAAATTTAGTTTCTGACTTCATTCAGACCTTAAAATCTTGGATTCCCTTTACCTCTCTGTTTTTCTAACCTATGAGCTCCTACTAATACTCTCCATTACCAAATGGTACCAAAACCCACTACACATTCATGGTTTCCTATGGTGTATACAGGTACAGACTATCTCAAGAAGGATAACAAAAGAAAATAGAAACAGTGGGTGCCTGCAAAGAAGCAAAGAAGAAGCAGGGTCTGAGATGAAAAGGACCTGACTTCTTTCCATTGTCTATTCTTTACCGGTTTTCTAGTTCTTTTCCTTTCTTTCCGTGTTTCTCTGTTTCTTTCTTTTTCTTTCTGTTAATCTTGTGTATGCATTACCCATGCAAAAGTAAATAATTAAGAAACATTTTAAGAAAGTTAAAAAACAAAAAAAGTTATAAATTTATGGTTTACAAATTCTATGTACAGGGAATAGATGTGATCAATTCACAATTTTCTCTGAAAGCTATAATAATGCTATCTATCCCTGCTACATCTCTAGTCTCTGTTATCCTCCATTGGTTTTCTGTTAAACAATATCTAGAAAATATTATCTGGTCTACAAGATATCTGGTCTATCAAGAAATAGTGTAAGGAGATTACTGATCAATGGTAAATACCAGGAGAGGATATGTGAGTGGGAAATACTGGTTGTCTTTTTTTTTTTTTTTTTAATGTTTATTTATTTGTGAGAAAGACAGAGACAGAGTGTGAGTGGGGAGGAGCAGAGAGAGAGAGGGAGACACAGAATCTGAAGCAGGCTCCAGGCTCTGAGCTGTTAGCACAGAGCCCAATTCAGGGCTCAAACTCAGGAATGACGAGATCATGACCTGAGCCAAAGTCAGATGCCTAACCAACTAAGCCATGCAGGCTTAGTCCCCGATTGTCTTTTTGACATATTTACCATATTTTTGACACACTTTACCATATTCCCCAGCTATTCAAATCAGGAGGGCAGCCACCCGGGAACCTTTAATAAGACAGAGGGCATTAGTCTGTAGTCTTCCAAATTAAATACCCTCCTGTTCCTGGCCATCCTCCACTTCCCATGCCTCTAGGACACGCCACAACAATCCAATATAACTAAGATACATTAATGGTAAGAAAACAGACGTTGTGACACTACAATCAGCTCCCGCATCTGTTGCTAAAAGACACAGATTTCAGAGGAACACTCATGGGAACCTTTAAGAATGCATAGAAAACACATAAAAGTAAAGGAAGCACACTGGCATGCTACAGGTAGAATCCAGTTTTGCTTGACTCACAGAGTATTTTTAAATGTAGGAAATTTCACCAAAAACTGTATTTCTAGCTTCTCTTGAAAATTCTGAAACATCTACCAACAAGAACCACCATTCCTTAACGGCAATAATGAGCTGGAGCTTTCAATTGAATTTGTTCATTTTACCAGAGTCCTCGTGATTTCTTCTCTTATAGCCAACCCATGTAACTCTTTTATATGGCCTATTGGCCTCTAATCATTTAAGTTTGACACTCAAATTTGCATTAAACTCAAGAAGCCAGAGCTATACTTACCAAGTACAGAGATCTGAGGGAGAAGAGGAATGGCAGCCATTCCACCTCAGCCCCTACTGATGAACACAGACTATATGTACGTGCTTCCAGAGACACAAAAGCTAGCCACTTTCCAGAGCAAGTTGCCTCCATAATTCACCATTTCTATAGAAGCTCACTCCTCCTAGCTTTGGTCTTCCTTGCTTACTAAGTCTTTGCCTCTCTCTAAACCCACACTCAATTCTTATTATCAGAATAGAATCTCAGGTGCTCCTTGTTTTGATTCAGGCACAGTTCTCCAGGTCAAATCCTCTGTGATTTTAAGCAGAATTTCGTATCAGTTCTCTGATTCCAAGTATTCAGAGATGCAAGTTAATACTTTCATCTTTTCCCAATTAGATCCTTCCAAGAGGGAAGGAAGATTAGAGAAGGCAGTCATTAATAGTTAATTAACAATCAAATATGCTGGAATAACATGAAAATGGAAAAACAGATTATCTAGAGAAAGCAGAAGAAAAGTTTCTTTAAGCACCAAATAATTTCTATTTCAGATACCCTCTCAGTCCTGAAGAATAGGATTCTTTACAAGGCACAAATGTATCATTGATAACTGTACAATGGACAGATAGTCCACATGGAAATCTTGCTAGAAAACACAGATTTCAGAGGAACACTGAAAAGGCTAGGGAAAACAGGACTATAGATGTAGTCTATTACCTTTTATATAATCTCATGTCTTTTCTCTAAGAATTAAATTTATCAACACCTCCTCCAGAATGACTTCACTAGAACCATGCTAATTTAAAGCAGACAATTCTTCATGTATGAAAACTTCTGACAAATTAGCAGAGCCCTCTGCAGGTCCTCTGTCCCCCTCTCTCTCTGCCCCACTCACACTATCTCTCTCAAAAATAAATTAACATTAAAACATTTTAATTAAAAAAGAAGAAACCTTCTGACAAGTGCCAGCATTTGGGCATGCAAAGATAAACATGTCACAGTTATAACTCTCCTCTGATTTCAGATAAGTAGAGTCTTAGTATGATTCTTGATATTTACGAAACCCATTCAAAACACTACTTTTAAACATTTATCCAATACATTCCTTAATGACTCAAAAACCAAAAGCAGTATCATTGATCATAACATACAAAATGAAGTTAATTTGCCAATGTACCAATTCTGAAAGATAATTTTTCTAGATGACTTAAAAGAAAAGACTTGTTTCTGGAATGCCTGGTGGCTCAGGTGGTTAAGCTTCTGACTTCAGCTCAGGTCACGATCTCACAGTTTGTGAGTTCAAACCCAACAACAGGCTCACTGCTGTCAGTGCAGAGCCCGCTTGGGATCCTCTGTTCCCCTTCTCTCTGCCCCTCCCCAGCTCGCACACACAAGCCGTTGCTCATGTGAGCGCTCTCTCTCTCAACAGTAAATAAATGTTAAAAAAATTTTTTTTAAAGAAAGAAAAGATTGCTTCTGGGGTGCCTGGCCGTGTCAGTCAGTTAAGTATCGGACTCTTGTTTTCAGCTCAGGTCACAATCTCACAATTCCTGGGTTCAAGACCCAAGTTGGTCTCTGCACCGACAGTACACAGCCTGCTTGGGATTCGCTCTCTCAAAATAAATAAATAAACTTAAAAAGAAGACTGTTTATACTCTTATGTATCTGCGTGAATTCTATTTTTAAAAAACATTTATTCATTTTTGAGAGTGTGCGAATCAAATGTTATATAAAGCCATAACATTTTCTAAACTCATCTCTGTATTTCCAGTGTTGAGTCCAGTCAAACCTCTTGTTTACTGGACCTATCTAGACCTCTAACTCACAAGGGGTTCCAATTTAATATGCTAGATCAAATCTAAGCCAAGACTCTAGCGATATCAGAAACCCAAAACACCACCAGGTTCCTGCCTTGCAGCCCAATTCCTAACAAGTAAGATATTTTCAGATAGAAGGCCAAAAGGATGTTAGAAGGTACCACTAAATTATTGTTCAAACACTGATAGCCTGCACTTAAGCTAAAACAATCAAACCACTCGATAACTATCTATGATAGAAATCCAGCACTGTACTTTCCCCATTAATCCCTTTCCAATACACTGGATGAACTTCTCAAAATTGACAAATGAAGTTTAATCAAACAATCAGTGATGTTACTAAGGCAGGAATATTGCCTCAGTTGTCAAGACAGACCATTTCTACCACAAGAAAACTCCATAATCTTAAAATAGCATTATGATACCTTATCAAAAACATTTCGGTATATGATGTAATATTCATCAGCAGGTCCTTCCTCATTACAGCCCACTCTTTCAGTTTCTGTAATTATGTATCTTTGCATACTTTCCAAAAATTCCTTGTCACTTCTACTAATGATAGGAGGGAGAACTGCATGTTTATTTATTTCTTGGACCGACATATGTCACAATCTGCACACTGGTTCACCAGAGAACAGTTAAGCCTCGACCGGCTTTTGCAACAAAGCCAAAACTTTGATAAGCCTGAAAGAAAAAAAGACCAATGATTAATCTGAAGCTTAAAATAAAATTAGTATTTGTTTATTAAAATAAATTAAGTCATTTCTAATAAATTTATAAAAAATTAAATCTGGCCTAAAAATGTATTTTTCATGGGAAAAAACTTCCCATGAAACTCTGAGATAAATATTTCAACCTATGAATTAAAAAGTCTAATCTTTTTTATTGTCAAGAGCTATACCTCTAGGGTAGAAATACCAAACACCAGTCAATAAAGAGCTCTTTTCTTAGTAACCAAGCCTCTGTATCATGTAATTGGATGATTCTGTATGTTTAATTTAATATCTCTAACAGAACTTTTACCATTTTGTTTGTTTCACATGGGAAAACTAATTTGGAAGCCTCCTCGTGACACAAACAAGGTCAAATACTTTACCTGTGTGCTTAGTTGGCCCAGGCATAGTCATGATAGCTACAAATAACTCATGACTTAATTTTATAATAAACTTTATTATAATTCTATCTTTAATATAAATGTACTAACTAAAAGTACGAAGTCAGACCTTCTGCTAAAATCCATCCATCAATGATACTGAAGATAACAAACAGTCTTCTTCTGAGTACAGTTTCAAGCAGCCACATTCCATTGCTCTTTTAGTAAAGAACCAAGGGGCGCCTGGGTGGCTCAGTTGGTTAGGCATCCGACTTTGGCTCAGGTCATGAGCTTACAGTTCGTGGGTTTGAGCCCTGCATCAGGTTCTGTGCTGACAGCCTAGAGCCTGAAGCCTGCTTCTGATTCTGCATCTTCCCCCTCCTTGCCCCTTCTCTGCTTGCACTCTGTTTCTCTCTCTCTCTCTCAAAAATAAACATTAAAAAATAAAATAATCATTATCCAGTTAGAGTTAGATACAGAAGTTGGTTCCTGAAAACTGTTCACATTAACATCAAACAGAATCCATAGCTTGCTCAAAAATGCCTAACTCTTCCCAAGTCCCATGAACTTGCTCTCTTACCTGAGGGTCTCATGCAATTCTCTACCCATTTCTGTATTCCCTCTCTCCATCCTTACCACGCCCTGTCCCCACCAAGATACACTCGTACTACCACTCTCATTCACTTGCCTTTACTCATTTTTCAGATTTCAGTTTACACAGCTCTAGGAAAGCTGCCCTGAATTCCCTTAAACTTGGTCAAGTTGTATATTCTCCCATAATACTGTGAACTTGCTCTATCATGGTTTTATCACTTAGCCACTCTGTAAGAGAAACTTTCTGTTTACATTCTCTATCTCTACCAGTAGGCAGGAACCAAAATGTTCATATTTCCCAATATCCTTCCTTACCTATAAGCATTCCAGTACATAGTAGTTTCTAGTAGAATATGTACTAAAAACATGCTTAATAATCAATAATTACTGAGCAATAATCTGGTCTGCTCAGAAGACATGACTTGTGGTGCTCTCAAACCAGAACACGGCTAAAGTGACTGTTCCTCAGCATGTACAAAATGCCCCAGAGCCACATAAAACAACTCAGATTACCTTTCACTCATTCATTCATGTTAGACACATAAGGATACAGAGAAAACAAGTGACAAATGTTCCCAGTCAAACCTATTGGGTCTAGTTAAATGAGCCATTGCTACAGAGCAGAGAGGGCATTGTGACAGAGGTGGACACATTGCACTCCAAAAGCCTGAGAGATACCTCACTAGTCTGTGGGAGAGGGCAGGGAAACATCAGGTAAAATACCTAATGGAATCGTCCCAAGTGCAATGTTTATGTTGGGCTGCATGTATTTATTCAATAAATGTTTGGGCGGGGTGGGGGGGGGGTCACCTACTGTGTCTGCCACTATTCTAGACATTAGAGATACAGCATCAAACAAAATAAAGTCTCTAACCTCCTGGAGGTTACTACATTCAAACCGAGAGACAGACAACACACAAAATACAGATGACACATGGGAGTAAACAGTTGTATAAATAAATAAATAAAACAAGGAATGGGAACTAGAAAGGAAGGTGGGAGGATGCTACTTTATACAAGGCATTAAGTTGGGAAAGAGGAAAGCCCTCACTGGTAAGGTCACATTTTAGAAATCTGAAAAAAGTAGTGTGAAGATTCCTGAGAAGAGTGGTTGATGCATACAGAGCAGCAAGCCCAAATCTTCAAAGCAGGACAGCATGTGTGACAAACAGCAAGAAGGCCAGCAGGGCTAGGAGAGAATGGGAAAGGGAGAGAAAAGATAAGGTCAGAGAGGTAGCTGCCAGATCACGTAAAATAGAAGCCCTCGAAGGCAGGACCACTCCCAGCCCATGCGGCACCTTTGTGCAGGTTAGAAAAAGGTGCCACTTTCACTAGGCAGACTTGGCAAGAGGAACAATGAGCTGGATCATGGCCTTGTGGTTCCAGGGCTGGAGCAACAACCTCACTTATAGGAATTTATTCTTAACTCTGAATGAGATGGGAAGCCACTGGAGGGCTGTGAGCAGAAGAGTGACATCTGACATACATACATTTCCTGCTGCTCTGTGAAGACAAGGGTCAAAGCTGGAAGCACTGTTAGGAGGCTATGCAATGATCTGGGCAAAAGATAAGGGTGGCGTGAATCGGGGTGGTAACAGTAGAGGTGGTGAGAAGTGTTGTGTACATTGAAAATAAAGCCAAGAAGATTCACTGTGCATATGAGGGTAGGGGGATATGAGAGAACAATCGAGGATGACCATAAAGTTTTCGGCCTTAGTGATGATAAGATAGGAATTTATCAGTCATGTGCATACAAATGGTATTTAAAAGTTATGAGACAGAATGAAAATGACCCGGGAAATGTCAACAAAGCAGAAGTCCAAGGACTGGGCCTTGGAAGCACTCCAAAGTTTAGAGGTCTGGTAGATCAAGAGGATGCAACAAAAAAGCCTGGAAAAGACCGTCAAGGGAAGGAGAAGTGAGAGACGTATCCTGGAAGTCAGGGGGAAAAACATTTCAAAGAGGGAGGGAGTAATCAACTGTGTCAAATGTTGATTTGATCAAATATGATTAAATGACCAGTGAATTTAGCAACATGGGGGTGATTAGTGACCACAAGAGCTATTCCATTGCTTGGTAGAGACAGAAGCTTGATAGTAGATTCATTTAATGGAAGGGGAAAACTGGAGACAATGAGCATAGAAAACTCTTTGAAGGTCTTTTGTTGTAAAGATGGGGACTAGCTGGCAGAATATGAGACGAAGAATGTTCTAAGAAAAAGAAATGGATTTTTTAGAAGTGCCAAAGCATGAGAAAGCATAAGTTAGGTACCTCAATTAGCTCAGTCATTAAAGCGTAAAGTATGTAATGGGTGTGATAGATTAGGCTATAAGGAAGGCAGAGTCTGAATATCATATTGAAGAATTTGGATTTTATCCTTGAAGGTGAAGTAGAATATGACATAATTACCTTTACTTTTTAGAATGTTTTGGAGGCAAAAGTGAGGGTCGGTTAGAAAAGGAGAAAGACTGAAGGCAGGTTAGAAGTTAGATTGACTCGGGGCACCTCGGTGGCTCAGTCAGTTGGGTGTCCGACTTCAGCTCAGGTCATTATCTCATGGTTCGTGGGTGTGAGCCCCAACTTGGGCTCTGTGCTGACAGCTCAGCTCAGAGCCTGGAACCTGCTTCAGACTTTGTGTCTCCCTCTCTCTCTGCCCCTCCTCCACTCATGCACGCTCTCTCTCAAAAATAAATAACCATTAAAAAATTAAAAAAAGAAAAAAGTTAGATTAACTTTTCCAGGAGAATAATAAGGACGGCCTGAATTTGAGGTTGAGGATGGAGATGCAGAGAGGCATGGAAAGATAAAAAGAGAAGGCATTAGGGAAGGTACATTAACAAAGGATTCCGTGGTTCGCACAGTGAAGAAAGGCCAGAGGAAGGTGTAACTTGCTTCTCATTGGTCCGCGGAACTAGGAGAGAACCCTACACATACTCCAAAATCTTCCTCTTGGTACCTTCACAAACGAAATGTCCCCACCTGGAAATTCTACAACTAAATAATCATTCTGCAGGTTCTTTCCCACATGACTTCATTTGAAAAGTTGAAAACTCCTGAGATTTTCAACATGTTCAACTGTTTCTCACTTAGGAGTGCTACACCTACACAATGCCCAGAACCTTACTCAAACTAGGACAGATTTGGGGATTGAAGACGAGGAAGGGCTACAGGACAGAAAAAGATAAACCCAAGGGTTTTAAGATACTACCTATCTTTCGGTCTGCCTGGAGCTGGCCACAGGAATTCCCTTCTCCTGGAGGCCAAATCATCTGATGGCTGGTCACTTATCCTCCGCCCCTCACCACCTCTGTATGTAAGTGAACGGTGCCTTCGTTCCCCGATCCCTTCTTCTCCCGACTCTTAACCTTTCCTCCTAGTCATTTCCGACCCGTTTCCACCTTCCCCGAAACCATTACTCCCCCTGGGCCTTGCTCCCTTCTCACCTTAATCCCTTTCTCCAAACACTGACTCCAGCGCTTGGAGACAGTAACTAGGGAACCGGGGGTGTGGAGCTGCATCTTGGGACAAGTAGTCCAAACTAAAAGAAATCAGTATAAAACTACAATTCCCAGAAGACACTTCCTTTTCCTCCCCTTTCCTCAATGAGGCCCCCTCAACCCCACCCTCTTTTTAAGACCCTACTAGCCTGGTGGCTTGTATGGCAAAAGCCTTTTAAAGCCATTGTTATTTGTTTAAATCTACTATTTCGACAGCATTCTGAGGGTTAAAGTGAGAAATAAGTTCATGGTAGAGAGGAGAAATGAGGTTCGCGCCCTAGTCTGGCATGTTGTTAGACAGCCGCCGTGACAGCAGTACGGCATTTGGTGTGGCCACCTACGAGGTGGGACCTCTGGCGGGGGCGCCGGGAAACCCCGTGGGCCGGCGCGTAGCTTTCTTTTCCGATCCGCCATCTGCGGTGAGTGTGTGCTCCTGGACCTCTCTCCGCCCAGCGGCCTACCGGGCGCTCTCTTCTGTTTCCCCAGGTCTGACTTCTCTCTTTTTTCTTTTTTTTTTTTTTTTTTGCTCAACCTCAGGTGGAACCGCCGCGAAGATGCAGATTTTCGTGAAGACTCTTACGGGGAAGACTATCACTCTTGAGGTATGGCCATGTGGCGTGAGGAACTCAAGGCCTGAATGTGGGCCTGAAGTGGAGTTAGGGATGCGTGCCGCTTTCTGTAGCAGAATGTTTAGAAGTCTGGGTTCAGAAGACTGGCTCTGAGTTGAGGCTTTGCTGAGTAGGGGCCTAGGGCTGACTTTAGATAACTGAAGAGTGGGCACTCCCCTCTCCAGTGGTTCTGGCCAGGTAGTCAAAGTCGGGCTCCTGCGGAGAGGGAAGGAGGCGCTCCCACGGGTGGGGGCGAACACGTGTGGCCCAGCCGCCGCCGCCCGCCTGCCCTGGGCTCAGGAAGTGTGCACGCCAGCAACGGACCTGGCAGGGCTTGCTTGCACCCTGGATAAGTGGTCAGCTCTGTTGGGTAGGCTTCCGCCCTCCACCAGCTTGGTTTGGGGGTAACTTTAAAGTTGAACTGGGTAAGTGGTCTGGGTGGTTCAGTCGCTTAAGCTTCCGGCATGGGGCTCTTTGCTGACTGCTCAGCCTGCAGCCTGCTTTGGACTCAGTGTCTCCCTCTAGCTCTCTGCCCCTCCCCCGCTCGATCGCGCTCTCTTTTCTAAAAATAAACATTAAAAAAATTAAATTGGGCATTTATTTTAGTTTCTTAATATTATCAATATATTTCCATTTTACAATTCCTAGGTCGAACCTTCAGATACAATAGAAAATGTGAAGGCCAAGATTCAGGATAAGGAAGGCAAGTAATAATGTCCACTTCAGATAAATTAACCTGTACTGGCGCCGGTCTACTTACTAGACATACCTGCTGTGGGTGGGATGGAAAGAGGTCGAAATGACAAAGTCAAATGCTTTTGAAATAATATTATGAGCATGGAGCCAAAAAGGGGTGCACTTCACATGTGTGAATTTGGGCGAGCTATTTAATTCTCTACATGCATTTCTTTAGCTGTAAAATGAAGATACTACTATTAACACGTATGGTCATTAGGATTAAATGAGTTAACTTATACAACCATTTAAAACCATGCCTAGCTTATAGTGACTGCTATTAGTACCCTTTATTTGATTAAGGATTATTTATAAATCTTAAGCAGATATGCTTCTTCTGATGTGACTGACTGTTTTATTAGGAATTCCTCCTGATCAGCAGAGATTGATCTTTGCTGGCAAGCAACTGGAAGATGGACGTACTTTGTCTGACTACAACATTCAAAAGGTCTGTTTGGAGGACAGAGCAGTCCTTTAAATATAAATCTTATTTTGTAAGTTTTGACCACACAAAAGTGGGGGCGAACAGCATTAGATTAGCAGTAGGTTCTTAGTGACCCCTGCGTTAACATTTCACAAGCACTGTTATAGTTTCTCACATTCTGGATTTTGTGGATTGCATTCCTGGTGTGATACAATGTGTTCTTTGATCTCCCTATAAACAAGTAGTTAATATTCCCTCCACAACTTCCTGTTCTCTGGTATTGTGTGCTTCTTAGCCATCCAGTTAGAAGATGCATGATGCTAGTTGCCCTTTCTTAATGGAATGTGAACATTAATCATTTTAAAGCCTGTTTCATACTCTTTCATTAATAGGAGTCCACTCTTCATCTTGTGTTGAGACTTCGTGGTGGTGCTAAGAAAAGGAAGAAGAAGTCTTACACGACTCCCAAGAAGAATAAGCATAAGAGAAAGAAGGTTAAATTGGCCGTCCTGAAATACTATAAGGTGAGCCAAGTTAGAATAAGTTTCTATCTGTAGATTAATAAATTTTGTTTGCACCTCTGGTTTCAAACTCTTTTAAGTTTTATTTAAATTCTAATTAATTAACTTGTAATATTGGCTTCAGGAATAGGATTTAGTGATTCATCACTTACATATAACACCCAGTGTTGATCATAAACAAGTACCCTCCTTAATGCCCATCACCCATTTAGCCCATCTCCCACCCGTGTCCCTCCATCAATCCTTTTGGTTCGCTATAGTTACGGTTTGCTTCCCTTCCCCCCCCACCCCCACCCCATTCATCTGTTTTGTGGTATCAAACTCTTTTAAAAGCTTTGTTCCTGTTTGGTGTTTGAACAAGCTTCATATGATGGGCTTCACTTTAAGCTGCTTGTTCCAAATTAAAGTTCTGATTTTGAAGTCAGATATGGGTTTAGGTCTTAGATCTGTCCACCACTTGCAAGACTGAACTGTACTGAGTGTGTGAACTTTAATGAGGTTGAATATTTTGAGTCCCTTAACTTAGACATCAGAATACATTGTAAAATTACCTTAACAGCAGGTTTGTACTTTTTAGGTGGATGAGAATGGCAAAATCAGTCGCCTTCGTCGGGAGTGCCCTTCAGATGAATGTGGTGCTGGAGTTTTTATGGCTAGCCACTTTGACAGACATTATTGTGGCAAATGTTGTCTGACCTACTGCTTCAACAAACCCGAAGACAAGTAACTGTATATGGGTTAATAAAAGACATGAACTAACATTCAATTGTTGAAATTCTTTAGTCACTTAAAGAGTGGTTTTTAAGTATCAAATTGAAGATCACACCATTTTCTTTGATAAACTACATATACTTTGGCAGAATTAGGTGTATTTAATATCAACTGTCTAGATACAAGCCAGTTTGTATTTGTTAATTTTTAACATCGGCACTGTTAACATTTGGACCAGATAAATTTTTGTTGTGGGGGTTGTGCATCCTGGGCCTCTCTACCCACCTGATGCCGGTAGCACACCGTTTCCACCAAGTGTATCCAAACACTGCCAAATAATCCTGGGATGGTAGAGTGGAGGCTGTCCATTCCCCCCACCCCCGCCGACTTGAGAAACTCTGGTATGAATGGGTGTTACACCTTGCCTTAAAAAGAGACAACATATTTGTTTCATATATAAGAAATATAAAGGCTAAGTTATCCTGAGTCCCTGGGTGGTTTGGCTGGTATATTTGCAGTGTACAGTACATGGGAACATTCTTATTGAATGTTGAGTGTGAAATCTTAGAACTTTAAACTGTTTGTTCACTAGTACTGTTAATGTTGAGAAAGTTTTAAGCAATATTTGGCACTATATTTTGCCCATGAGCTAAATTGAGGGAGTTTTGCTTGATACCACTCAACGAAAACATGCAACGGACTTACTACATTCAATGGCACTGATAACAATTCCCTTTTACCATGTCATACCATTCTTAACAGGATTTCTACTTGGAGGCATCCTTAAATAACGTTTCCTATCTCTGTAGCATTTTGACAAGTTATCCATGTTAACACCTGGTATAGCTACTTGGGTATTTTTTGGCCAGAAGTGAATTCTTCCCTTCACTAAAGCATAACTAGTCGTTCTATAATAAAGCAAGATACTTGTTTTTAAATTTATTTTTTAAAATAATCTCTGCACCCAACATAGGGTTCAAACTTCAGACCCTGAGATCAAGAGTCACAAACTACCCACTGAGCCAGCCAGGCACCCCATTAATTGTTTACATTTTTAATGTAATTTTAAAATCCTGGATTCCAAGAAGTCTTAGCTGGAACTTCTTTTTCTTCATAACAAACAATTTCATCTCCCACTTTAAATTCTACCTTTTCTTCATCCAAACTGAGACCACAGTCCATTCCAGTTTTGATGACTGAAATGTCGTCTTTATGGTGTTTCAATGAGGTTAATGAGCCTTAAAATATAAAAACAAAAAAACAAGGTAGGTATACTCAACAAATTATACCTGCTAAGTGCTATACAGTCTGGTGTTAAAAGGAAAATTACCCTGAAAGTCCTAAATTTTACAGTCCTATCATGTTAAATGATGGAACTAAATACTAGGGAAACCAAAGAAAAATGGTTTGCTGTAAGCAAGATGTGGCTTATAGGGAAAGAACTAAATCTCAAAGGTTAGACTAACTTTGCAGAGGATGGCATTGTACTCAAGATTTAAAGAATGAGATAATCCAGGATAAAAGACATTGCAGGCAAAAGGTCAAGGTAAACCAAGTACAATGCTGTAGATCAGGGGTAGGAGACAGCTGGAAGGGTAATTTGCGGCCAATTTTTAGAAGCTTAGGAAACTAGATTACTGATTTATCAGGCTTGTTACAGTTTATATAGATTACCAGGCAGGACTAAAAATCCTGGAAGAGACATCAGGACTAGTAAGGGAGGGAGCCTGTCACCTGGAGACGAGGTTTGAGTTAACAAAAGGTAACAGCCTGAACCAGGATATGGGAGTGAGATTTTAGGTGGTTACATGGAATCAGTAGGTTTGGGTGACTGGATTTAATATTATAGAAACAGATTGTGATCTTGCTTACCCTTCCAAATAACATGTCCGTTACGGATTAATTTAAATTTTTTCTGTTTTTCTAACTGACCCTTTTGGACTCTGCAGCCAGCCACAGGAACTTTTTTCTTCCCTTCTGTTACAGAGAAGGTAGCTAGTATACAAGCCTCACCTTTAGAAAGAAGAGAACATTAGATGCACACAAAACAAAAGATTCTGAGAAATACATAATTTCACATATTCTGCAGAGCAAGAATTAAAGGTGTGAGAAAAATACAAACTCATGTACTGAAATCCTGTTTTTCTCTGACTCTACCAACTTTATTTTTCTGACTGCTCATAGAAACATAAACATGAAAATCCTTGGGTTTTCCTGGAAAAGAACCTGCTTGCCTAAAAAAATGAACAAGGGAAAAAGAAATTCACTTTTTTAGCTGAAAATGCACTAGAAGATAACAGTTTACTGTCTGCTTTATGAAAACCTAGTTTTCACCTGTCCCTCAATATATTATTCTTGAAGAGAACATCTGTCATCACCTAATTTTAATCTCCCCATTGATAATTTATATTCACTTAAATACTGATTCTGTGACTCAGCTTAAAGCTTAATTTTGTTCACTGAAAATTAAATTCCAATAATGACGTGGTATCACACACTATAATATACCGATTTACTGGGGTTAGTGTTATTTGGCTGATGAAAACCCTTGTATGACTCAAAAGTTTTCCAAATTGTGCCTTAGCACAAGAACATACAAATCTCTGTATGGTCATGTTTAGCAGATCAGAAAAGCCTAAAAAATCTCTGGACCATAAGAACAGATAAAACGATTCAGTCCATCTCAAATAAATTTAGGCTTCCATCTGGCCAAGGGATATGCTAGAAAGAATATTTCTAAATATGTGATATTTAAAGGTAAAATTAACTATTCTCATGGTGGACTTCTCAGCCAACTCCAGGACAAAATCAGTGGCTCCTTCCAGAACACTGTATATAATCTTCATGCATCCCATCCCAGTCTAATTTGTGTTATAATTAGTTGATGTCTAAACCTTAGGGCAAGTTCTTACTGCCTAACTTGCCTTTGTATCCTCAGGGCCAAAGCATAGGCTGCAGAGGGCAGGTTTATAATACATAGGAAGTTACATTGAATATATCATTTTTTCTAGGACACAGGCCATTTATTGGAACAGTGAAGGTATTTCAACAGTGAACTATAATTCCCCTAAACTTTGCTTTCAAGTGTTCTTCACAGCACCTAAGATATGAATGTTTAATATTCAGTGAACACTCACCAATTGGATGCTCTTCCACAATGCAAGGCAATCTGCTGCTCAGTTCTTCCTGCAAATCTTCAATTAGGCGGTAAATGATTTTGTGAAGTTTAATTTTTACTCCTTTTTTTGTAGCAGACTTCTGGATAACATTGCCTGCATTCACATTGAAGCCATATATAACACCTGGGAAGCAGAAATAGAATCAATAAAGTAGCACAAATATTGTATTAAGGACTTTTCTTTCAAGCAGAAACTCAAATCTAAATAGTTTTATTTCGGGCAGCCTGAGTGGCTCAGTAAGTTAAGCTAAGCGTCGGACTCTTGGTTGCAGCTTAGGTCATGATCTCTTGGTTTGTGGGATTGAGCCCCGTGTCTGGCTCTGTGCTAACACCATAGAACCTGCTTGGGATTCTCTCTCTCCCTCTCTCTCTCTCTGCCCCTCCCTTGCTCACTTGCATGCTCTCTCTCAAAATACACTTAAAAACAAAAAGGTTTTAGGGGTGCCTGGGTGGCTCAGTCAGTTAAGCGTCCAACTTCGGCTCAGGTCATGATCTCACAGTTCATGGGTTCAAGCCCCATGTTGGGCTCTCTGCTGACAGTTTGGAGCTTGAAGCCTGCTTCAGATTCTGTGTCCCTCTCTCTCTGCCCCTCCCCTGCTCATGCTTTCTCTCTCAAGAATAAACATTAACAAAAAAGTTTTATTTCCTTCTATGTAAATTAAAAGGGGTGATGAAAAATTCTGTAATTTTTTCTCATGAAAAATAGTAAATTTTCAAATTAACCAAAGGATTTTACAAATACTATTGTAGCTTGTTTAACAAGGAAAACTTCTTTATAATTTTTAAACCCATTAATTTAAGAGACAAAAGTACCCATACTGTGCAAGGCAGTATGCTAAACAAAACTTTGATTTTTATACCAGAGAAATAAGAAAACAAAAATTGAATAGGGCTGAAATATTTTTACATTATTTTAATAACAATTGTATTACTAAATTATAAACTTATTGTCTACAACTTTTTGTGGTTTATTCTTAGATATTCAGCTGGCCAAAAGATGCTCCAAAATAGTTACTAAATTGGTAAAGTTTAAGAGTTATTTAAGAAATGAAAGAAATTCTATGGAGTTGACTATTCTGCCAAAGAACAAATAATATATTTAACAGCAAATACCTTAGAGGGAATAAAAAGCAAAACACTCCTGGCCTTAAACAAGTGAGAAAAATGAAAGCAAACAAGTTAATCAAGAGAAAAACACAACCACCTGGAAAGTTTTATCATTAAGAAATCATTTAACACGCTACCTGCATTATATAGTATAGTGCTAGGCTGGTCAATGCCTAGAAAATACTTTGAATTAGCCAGTACTGGGGCACCTGGGTGGCTCAGTCAGTTAAGCGTCCGACTTCAACTCAGGTCACAAGTTGGAGCCGCACATTAGGCTCTGTGCTGATAGCTCAGAGCCTGGAGCCTGCTTCAGATTCTGTGTCTCCCTCTCTCTGCCCCTCCCCTGCTCACGCTTTGTCTCTTTCTCTCTCTCAAAAATGGATAAAAACATTAAAAAAAATTTTTTTTAATTAAAAATAAATAAAAATTAAAAATGAATTAACCATAACCAGCATTACTATTTAGTAGAAGTAACATCTAATTCTAAATAAGTACAGTCACTAAGTACCTCCTTCCTAAGTGATTCATTAATTAATAAAATGTTGGTGCCTTGCTAGGTGTTAGACTTAAAGTGAGTCATGAGTCACCTTTTTGTATATCGTAAGTTCAACTAATAGTCCAGTCCCCCTACCTTCTAGGCATTTAATTAAAGCTAAAAACTGTTTGCTTCAATAGTGCATATACTAACGCTAAACACAGCTTTTAATCTAAGAAAGATTTATATAATTATCAATAGACAAAAAACAGGTAGACAAAAGTAAAAGATGAAGTAAAATACTGAACAGGCTGATTACAGTGTCAGGAGCATTCAAAAGTCTAAATAAAAGATACAGAGAACCAACCTTGGATTGGGTGGGGAAATGGGAAAGGCAGTAATTATCTTTATTTATAAATAAATAAGTAAGTAAGTAAGTAAGTAAAATCAAAAAACCTTCTGGGACTTGAAAGAGTTCCCCAAGGTTGTAGTGTGAAAACAATGAGTGAAGTTATGGCTGCAATACTGCGCATCCCACTGAGCTCAAAGGCTGGGACTCCACTAGAGCAGGAAGGGTGATGCTGATAAGGGTAAAGGGCAAGTTGATTAGCCAAGCTACAAAAGACTGAAGGTAATGGTTCACAGTGTGTTCTAGGGAACACAGTTAAACAAACAGGAAAAAGAAATCTTACCATGAAATGTTTCAGCAAGGTTAACATCATTTTCACTGACATCACCCACACCAAAATGTACTAATTCAAGTTCACACTCATGTGAAGCATCATAGGTATCCATAATGTTCACAATGGCCTCAACAGAACCATCAACATCACCTAAAAAAGTTTGAAATTACTGGTGTTAAGAGTTAGACATTAACAGACACAAAATGACAAAAATCTATTTAAAGTCATACTAGGAATGGTATTTACCACTTTTATTTAGGTTTAGCATTATAAACATCTATTTAACTTAAGTATTTAGAACCAAAAGTACATTTACAACAAAACATCAAGAAAAATGTTTATTAAAATCTCTCCCAGTGAGTCATCCAGAGTTCATGAGTTCAAGCCCCATATCAGGCTTTCTGCTGTCAGCACGGAGCCCACTTGGGATCCTCTATCCCCCTCTCTGCCCCTCCCCTGCTCGTGTTCTCTCTCTAAAAAAGAAATAAACATTAAAAAAAACAAAAACAAAACAAAACAAAACACCTCTCCCCCAGTGAGACATGGGCAAAAAGGAGGGCAAAAGGTACAACCTTCCAGTCATAAATAAGTCATGGGGATGTAATGTACAGTACAGTGACTATAGTTAATAATACTATATTATACATTTGAAAGTTGCTAAAAGAGTAGATCTTAAAAGTTCTTATCACAAGTAAAAAAAGTTTTGTGACTGTGTATGGTGATTAGACTTACTGTGGTGGTCATTTTGCAATATATACAAATATCAAATCACTGCTATATACCTGAAACTAACATAATGTTATATGTCAATTACACATCAATAAAATAAATCTCCCCCAAAATACCAAAATAATTTTAGCTTAAATTTAATGGCCCAAATTAATTGTGAGAATGAAGAAATATACATATTTATAATACAAAAATGAGTAATGAAGTAAAATCTTTCCAAAGTCACCTTTAATAATTATAGGAAGTACATTTGAATCCTTTTCTTCTTTCTCTTTTGTCTTTAAGGGTTTTTGTTCTCTTTTTTCTTGGTACTTTAGAAATGATCTCTCCTTCCAATGCAAAGTGCCATATTTCTCACGGGCTTTCCGATGTGCTTCTTGGTGTTCCTTTCGCTTTTCTTCTATTATTTTCAGATTCTCTTTGTTTTTCTCCTGTTCTTGCTCATACTTCCGCCAGTCAACAACTTCACGTGCCCTATGCTTTATAGGGGAAAAAACAGGCATTATTTAACTAAAGAGAAACCAGCATCTTATGGATTAAAAAAGCTTGATGTTTTTCCCCAACTTAGCTTGGTCTAACTCATATATGAAACCACTAATTTTATAAATTTTGATAAACTTATAAAACTTTAATCTAGGGTCTTTGTATACACAGATGATTTAATTTTTAAATATTACCTCAAATTTTTAAAAATTCCATAGCCAAATTATAAAATGGCACCACTGGCCCTCTCATAAGCCTTTATAGTCTATACTTATTTGTTAACACAAATATACTTATTTGGTAGAAAATCAGAGAATATTTAAAATCACTGTATCCCATGATATATCATAGTGAAACTGGCAAGATACAAAAAAAAAGAGAGAATTCTGAAAGCAGCTAGGGACAAACAGGTCTTACTTAACCTACAAGGGAAGACACATAAGGGTCATAGCAGACCTGCCCACTGAAACATGGCAGGCCAGAAGGGAGTGGCAAGAAATATTCAATGTGCTGAATAGGAAAAATATGCAGCCAAGAATCCTTTATCCAGCAAGGCTGTCATTCAAAGTAGAAGGAGAGATACAGGCTTTCCCAGACAAACAAAAACTGAAGGAGTTCATGACCACTAAACCAGCCCTGCAAGAAATCCTAGGGTTACCCTGTGAGTGGAAAGCAGCAAAGACTACAAAAGACCAAAGACAACACCACAAGCATGAAACCTACAGATAACACAATGACACTAAATCCATATCTTCCAACAATAACTCTAAATGTAAATGGACTAAATGCCCCAATCAAAAGACACAAGGTATCATTGTGTCTAAAGACACAATGGATAAAAAAAGAAGATCCATCTATATGCTGCCTACAAGAGACTCATTTTAGACCTGAGGACACATTCAGATTCAAAGTGAGGGGATGGAGAACCATCTATCACACTATCGGATGTCAAAAGAAAGCCTGAGTAGCCATACTAACATCACACAAACTAGATTTTATTTATTAAAAAAAATTTTTTTTAATGTTTTAATTTTATTTTTGAGAGAGAGAGACAGAGTGTGAGTGGGACAGGGGCAGAGAGAGAGGGAGACACAGAATCTGAAGTAGGCTCCAGGCTCTGAGCTGTTGGCACAGAGCCTGATGTGGGGCTCGAACTCACAGACCGTGAGATCGTGACCTGAATTGAAGTCAGACGCTTAACTGACTGAGCCACCCAGGTGCCCCCCATACAAACTAGATTTTAAAACAAAGACTGTAAGAAGAGATGAAGAAGGGCATTATATCATAATTAAGGGGTGTATCCATCAAGAAGAGCTAATGATTATAAATGTTTATGCCCCTAACTTGAAATGCCCAAATATATAAATCAGTTCATCACAAACATAAGCAAGCTTATTGGTAATAATACTGTAATTGTAGGTGACTATAATACTCCACTTACAACAATGGACAGATAATCTAGGCAGAAAATCAATAAGCAAACAATGGCTTTGAATGATACACTGGACCAGATGGACTTTGACAGATATATTCAGAACTTTTCATCCAAAAGCAGTACATTCTTCTCAAGTACACATGGAACATTCTCCCAAAGAGATTACATACTGGGTCACAAAACAGCCTTCAACAAATATAAAAGGATGGAGATCATACCATATATATTTTCAGACCACAACGCTAAGAAACTTGAAATCAACCACAAGAAAAAATTTGGAAAGCCTCCAAACATATGGTGGTTAAAGAACATACTACTAAAGAATTAATGGGTCAATCAGGAAATTTAAAGAAGAAATTAAAATATATATGGAAACAAATGAAAATGAAAACACAACAGTCCAAACCATTTGGGATGCAACAAAGGCAGTCCTCAGAGGAAAATACATCACAATCCAGGCCCATCTCAACAAGCAAGAAAAATCCCAAATACAGAATCTAACCTCACACCTAAAGGAACTAGAAACAGAGTGCAAAGAAAACCCAAGCAGAAGAGAAATGATAAGGATTAGAGCAGAAATAAACAATATAGAATTAAAAAAAAAAAAAAAACAGTAGAACAGATCAATGAATCTAAGAGCTGTTTTGAAAGAACAAACAAAATTGATAAACTCCTAGCCAGACTTCTCAAAAGAAAAGAGAGAGGACCCAAATAAATAAAATCACAAATGAAAGAGGAGAGATCACAACCAACACCACAGAAATACAAACAATTATTAGTGAATACTATGAAAAATTATATGCCAACAAACTGGACAATCTGGAAGAAATGGACAAATTCCTAGATACCCACACACTCCCAAAACTCAAATGGGAAGAAACAGAAAATTTGAACAGACCCATAACCAGTGAAGAAATTGAAATGGTTATCAAAAACCTCCCAACAAGTAAGAGTCCTGGTCTAGATGGCTTCCAAGGGGAATTCTACCAGACATTTAAAACAGAGTTAATACCTATTCTGCTCATGCTGTTCCAAAAAATAGAAATGGAAGGAAAGCTTCTGGACTCATTCTATGAAGCCAGCATTACCTTGATTCCCAAACCAGACAAAGACCCCACTAAAAAGGAGAATTACAGGCTAACTTCCCTGAAGAACACAGATGCAAAAATTCTCAACAAGATACTAGCAAATCGAATTCAACAGTATATTAAAAGAATTATTCACCATGATCAAGTGAGATTCATTCCTGGGCTACATGCCTGGTTCAATACTCACAAATCAATGTGATTCATCACATTAACAGAAGAAAGGATAAGAACCACATGACCCTGTCAACAGATGCAGAAAAAGCATTTGACAAAATACAGCATACTTTCTTAATAAAAACTCTCAAGTAAGTTGGGATAGAAGGAACGTACTTTAACATCATAAAAGCCGTATATGAAAGGCCCACAGCTAATGTCATCCTCAATGGGAAAAACTGATAGCTTTTCCCCTGAGATCAGGAACACGACAGGGATGTCCACCCTCACCACTGCTATTTAACATAATCTTGGAAGTCCTAGGGTCAGCAATCAGACAACAAAATGAAATAAAAGGCATCCAAATTGACAAAGAAGAAGTCAAACTTTCACTTTCCACAGATGACATGATACTCTACATGGAAAACCCGAAAGACTCCACCAAAAAACTGCTAGAACTGAAACATGAGTTCGGCAAAGTCACAGGATATAAAATGAATGTACAGAAACCAGTGCATTTGCATACATCAATAACAAAGCAACAGAAAGAGATATCAAGGAATCGATCCCATTTACAACTGCACTAAGAACCATAAAATATTTAGGAATAAACCTAACCAAAGAGGTAAAAGATCTGTACACTGAAAGCTATAGAAAGCTTATGAAAGAAATTGAAGAAGACAAAAAGAAATGGAAAAATATTCCATGCTCATGGATTGGAAGAACAAATATTGTTAAAATGTCGATACTACCCAAAGCAATCTACACATTCAATGCAATCCCAATCAAAATAGCACCAGCATTCTTCTCAGAGCTAGAACAAACAATCCTAAAATTTGTATGGAACCACAAAAGATCCCAAATAGCCAAAGTAATGTCGAAAAAGAAA